CACCCTCATTCATTCATCTCCCAAAAGGGTAGATCTAGGAGGGCCAGTGGGGGCCATGCCCCCCCCAAAAAAACCGATGAAGATTTTCTTTTTCAATTAATCAGAGTGAAGATATTAAATGTCTTAAATAGAGATTTTTTGTATGTACAGAGTTATTTTTTGTTAAGGAAATTGTTTCTGAGCAACTGCTTAATTGTGATTGGTGCGATTAGTTACACACGATGTACTGGTACGTGCACTGGGGACTCTGCTTGCTTGTTTCGTTCTCAACCCCCCCTCCTCCAATTTGGGTCTGGATCCAGCCTTAGTCTCCCACTGCCCTTTCAGCCTTTCAGGGTGCTAGGACGGGCAAATGCCTCTCAGAAGATCTTGTGAAAGAAATACATCACGACTACCAAAGCATTGTGGGTTACTTGCTGTCTGAATCAATCCGAGTACACAAGGTGAAAACACGTCACGCACACTCGGAAGTTTTGATTGATATCATTGTTCAAATGAATTCTTCGTCATGCAATTGCCCTTATACCTGTGCCTTGAGAGGGTGGTGGGAGCGAAGCAAAACACTAGTACCGGTATCTTCACATTCAATTATCACCATCATACAACAAAGGGAACCGGTCAGCAGGTTGAAGATACTACATGGCAACTTGTATACAAGGGACTTCCATCACGTTCTGGCATCAGTGGCGCAGCACTCCACCAGCTCAACAGATCTGATTTTATGTTATTTAGATAGAGTTTTCACAAGCACCTCTAAAAATGGTCCCTCAAAACAATGAAGGAAACATGAACTACCACCGTCACGATAGGGTCAAATCAAATGATGTCAAAGCATCACATGACCAGCTGACCACACAGTTTCAAGGAGATCTTGTACCGTTGTACTGGGCAAGCACTGTGTACATTTCTGTAAGTTGCACACCCGAGAGTGAGGCTTTTTCACTGTACAATACATGTAAGAATTGATTCTTTTCCACTTGTCACTTGTTCCTGGCAATACTCTCTTGGGGGATGGACGTTGATATTCATTGTGACCAAACTAATCAATTCTAATTTTGAAAAATTTAGAATACTTGCCAAATGTAGCAGCGGGATGTTCAATTTTGTTGTTGCTGTTGTTGTTATTCTCATTGTTGATTGTTCTAAAGTCTGGCACATTTTTATTGCTATTTACCTGTAAAGAGTGACACTTACTTTAGCAACAGGAGAGCGCCAGCCAATCATTCATGAGGGTGCTCTTTCTTGGTACTGCAGTTGGTACAGTGAATACATGTACATGTATACACTTTTAGTTCAAAAGGTGAAAAACTCTTATATTCTGATGATCCATAAATAATTACCATGTACAGGTACATTAACTGTTCCCCAAATTAATGTAAAATTAAAAAGAATCCTAACTAGATCGCAACTACATGCATTGTAGTTTTGGACGCAAAAACATTGCGAAAGCTTATAGACATATCTGAAGTGGAAACTTAAAATAAATTTCAGGGATTCAGTGGTTCAACAACTTGCGCATGACACCAAGAAAAATGCTGACCGAGTGCTCATTTCTTTTACAATGACCAATACATGTAGGTTAATGATTTATTAGGTTTGTTAAAAATTGTTATTAAATCAAACATTCTAATGTTGGTTCTTCACAGTGAACCACTAAAGAATGTCACAAAGTTTGTGGTAATGCATTTCTATCATTTGCTTAACATTAGGAAATATCTCTCTAAGGAATGTACCGAGACAGTGACTCATGCATTTATCTCAAGAAGACTTGATCATTTTAACAGCTTGCTGTATGGATTGCCCAACACACAGATCAACCAACTCCAGAGAGTGCAGGATGCTTGTGCCTGCCTTGTTTACAAGACTTCAAAGTTTTGTCAAACCACACCTTTACTCATTGACTTACTCTGGCTTCCTGTTCGATATAGAATTGAATTTAAGATTTTGTTGATGACATACAAAGTTTTGCATGACCAAGCTCCACAATATTTAACTCAGCTTGTTTCTGTAAAGTCTCAGGCCTGTTGCCATCTTCGTAGTTCTGGTGACGGTGTCCTCCTTAAATGTCCTGTGGGTCAGGGTAAGGCTACCCTTGGGGATCAAGCCTTTGAGTATAGTGCACCACATCTCTGGAACAGATTTCCACTTTATACTTGCTTCCAGTGTTATCATTTTTAAATCAATGTTAAAATCTCATCTGTTTAAGAAGGCATTTTATTAACTGGGAACGCTCTGGGTGGTGGTTGTAATCCTTACCTTAACAATCAGTAGTTTTAATTGCTGACATTGGTTGTGTTTTATTATCCTTATTTTGGGTAGTTGTGTCAATTCTTGTAGATTTTTATGTCTCTCTTGTATGTAATATTCATTATACTGCATTTGTGAACATTCCATGGAATGAGCACAATATAAATCTAATTTAATGATAATAACAATAAGTACCATAACCACCACCATCAATGACACTGCTCTGTGTACTTGGCCTACCAGCAATCTTCATAATAATCTACAGTCAAATGAACTGCCTCATGACATTACAAGTTTGTCAACCAACTAAATCATAGCACATTCAGATGGCAAAAATAAAACATCACTTAAATATGTAACAAGGTCTGTCTCGAAGGCTTCACAGAAGACATATACATGTACATGCCGTGGGTCGACGGCATGTGCTCAAAAGCTCAGTTTTCACTTGGTTCTCGTGTTAACAGCACTGATGGAAAAATGTGGCAAGTTAAGGCTTTAGCAGTAAGTTGCACTCGTAAATACCCAGAGTATATGTATGTATTTAGGCCTAGCTTACAAGATAAAAAACATTCTACATTGCGGGGGCAATAAATATTCATTAGGGTATTTTTTAAAGTTTCAGATTACAATGTTTCAAAGTCATTGTTTATGCACGACTGATGTCATGTGACTCCACTGACAACTGAGCATGTGGGGGAAAAGTATGGATACACAGAAAAGACATGTTCCTTATATCATTTTCTAGCTGCCTGGTAAATCGTTTTGCCCTCACATTTTGAGGGATGAGTTGACATGTTGCAAAGCTTATTTTTTCTGTGAAAAATATAAATTCCTACATGCATATTAAACATCTAAATTAATACTTATATTTCTAAGAAAGGTAGTTCAAAGCAGGTCTTTTATTTCATTTCATTCTTTCAACAAATATTAAAGTAAAAGCGACTGTGTGCGCTTTAACAATTAAGGCCAAAAAAATTAAAAATACACTAATACGGATTGATATTGTGACAAAAAAAGATTATAATAATATTCATTAGGCCCTAGATATTACAACCAACATGTGACATCCAACAGCAAAGTACAAATTTCTCATCTTGCAGAACATGTGCACAAGCCCAGTGCTGCAGTCTAGGGCATGTGCCGACAGGAACTATTCCCCATCAATGCTTACAACAGCATTTTGGTGTGTTGTTGATCTGAATGAACCAAAGAAGCCATGTGTGATTTCTCTGCCTCAATCTGATCCAATTCATGCTCCTGCACCAGAACACAACATCGCTTCAGAGCACCTCCACCACCGATGATGACAGTGACTCAGCAATTGATGACAGTGACAAGTGCTGTGTTTTCCTCTGATTTCCACCCATTGAACTTGCAAACTCCATCAATTTAACATCATGGGACCAGTGAATGTTTGAAAACTGCTTGCACTGGACACACATCAAGTACTGTTGCAGAGCCACCCCTCTCCTGGCAAGGGATACATTTCATTGTCACACCTCCTCACAGTCTCCCATGCTTCCAGCCGACAGAGGAATAAATTTTATCAATGTAATTTCCTTCTTTTATCAGATGATTTCCCGGGGAAAAATATAAGCCATTTTTTTCGATTCAAGCATGTTTATTATTTTGCAAAGTAAATTACTGATTATGAAGTAATCTTGATAGTAAACACTTGATAATGTTGTTTGTTTCACTTTTGGAAATAAATGAAAGTGTGTTAAATTTAAAACATTCCCCAATTTAATACTTTTATATTTGATGAAAAAAAAAAAGGACAGTTGAAAAAAATATAAAACACACAGAAACTTTAGAGTTGAAAGCAAAGAAACACCTTGAATATTTAAATAAAGAGCCCATGTACGTACGTACGTAGTATCTTATCGCTCAGTCCATTTATTACATGTTTTGTGAGTGTTAAATTTTAGACTATTTTGTCTCAAAAAAAGTGGCTAACTTAGCCTTTGAAAATAATTGGATGGCTACTTCGCCTTAGAAAATAAATTAAAAAGTCTCCTTTTTGTGTGTGTTTTCTTCCCTTCCAAAATAAAATAAACAAGTTTTTATATTAAAAGGAAAATAAATCGACCCCCCTGGGTACAAATAAAATAAGATATGAAATGAAACACCGTCATTGTAGCTCACAAGTATACATTAGCTGTATACTACTGCCAAACAACCCGGTTCACCACAACAACGCACGCTAAGAAAAGGATGAAAATTAACAACTGGAATCACCCAGAACGAAGCACAGGAACACGGAGTAGTGAAGTGACCACTGCAACCATCAGCAACGCAGGAAAGAAAAAGAGAGGGACGAGTGGCAGTAAGGAAATTGGTGACGCGCTTCACCGCTCATGTTACGTAATAAACGAAAAGGCAATGAAAAAAATTTGACTCAGGACTACTTAGTACTAGTACTACACATGTCTTGACATGGAACAGCTGTCAAGACGATGAGGGGTCAAGTGACGTATTACAGATGTGTGGCTAAGGATGGATCAGGAGTGAGAGTCTGTGTATGTGCCACACTAGTCGGCGTACGAGTTGGTTGGCGTACGAGTTGGTCAACGTAGGAGTTGACCAGCATTCACCGGGCCTAGTACTAAAGTAGTAGTAGTACACAGCGGCTTGATTTAAACTATCGATGGCTTATGAAGATAGACTCACGACATAGTCAAAAATAATATGACAAAGAGATAGGCCACGAGTTGCTAAATATGGCACAATTGAGGGAAAGAATGGCCACTTACCGCTAAATTATGAACGATTCCCTCTTATTCTGAACCTTTGCTACAACGGTCTTAAGCTTTGGATTGTCGATCCATCCCGTTCACTAGCAGCGCCCTCTGCCGGTAATAAAAGCACTGATTAAAGCGCCCTCTTGGTATGTGGCAGGGGCCGACTTCATAGAATTTCTTTCGTACAAAACTTGCTTACGCGCAGGAAAACTTGCTGTAAAGTTACCAGCAAAACTTTTTGTGATGTATATTGCTTTTGACCGGTATTCAACTGTTGTTTGGTTACCATGACAATAACATGGAGTTTGGACCGGTACCTTACTTTAGTAGAATTTTTCACGCTAAAGCAAATTGACGAAACAGTGAGCAGGCGAATGGCCGTAGTCTCAGCTCACCTAAAAGTAAAAAGTAATTCTGCGCTATTTTCAAATAATATTATGTCGGTTCAGAGAAAGTCGTAAGTGAAATAAAACTTGTTCGAGGTGCAAGATGGAAATGTCTTTGATAGTTAAAAAGACAAGCTTTAATGTCCATAATCGCGGAGGGTCCCTAGGCCTCAATGCTGCAAAACTGAAACTGAATAATACCATAATGGGCGTAAAGTAACCCCCGGGGGATGAGGTATATATTCCCCAATTTTTTAGGTTGGGGCTATTGAATTATTCCCCGTATTCAATATCACTCAAGAAGAGAAATCAATTTAAAAAGGCATAAATGTGGCATTCTAATGTAAGATTTTGCATGAATGTCCATGCATATTACAGAATGTACATCAGCATGATATGAGCATCGCCCTATATACATGTAATTTATATGGTGTCAACCCCCCCCCCCGCTTTTCCGATTTCCACGACTGAGTAATTCACCTCCCCCCCAAAAAAATTCCCATCCTCACCGCACCCCTAATTTCCGTAAGTAATTTAGGCCATATGCCCTCAGGCTCAAGTAACGTCACCCAAAAGTGGGTGATGGGTGGAAAGTTGCAAGTAGGTGGTTATTGTACAAGCAGAAACGGGGAAATCGAGAAAAAACTGGTTTCAAACGGGAAGAAAACAAAACTCTGGGAAGGAACCCAGCCTGATGTCAATGGCGTAGTATACTGGAGTGAAATTTCTGGGTGGCACCACAGAGCTGTTTTTGTTTATAGTTCTATGGGTAGCACACATTTTTTTCCTTTTCTGCATGCAAGGGGATGAGAACATACGCTGTGTGACTTTCAAAATTTCAAATGGGCGGGACACCGGCACCCCCGTAGTTAGGCCACTGTCAAATGGCCGAGCTTGCAAGCCATTACAGCATACACGTCTGACAAAATCATCATTTTAGTAAATAAATTCAGCTTTGAGGAACTTGGGGTCTGTGAATACACGCGGCAGCATAAAACAACAAAGCTTGTATTTCTGTCTATTTTTGGTAGCATTGGGCGCAACTTGAGCCAAAGTGCCTAAGTTAAAAAAGGATAATCTATTTCTCCCTCAAGCCATGACCTACGGGTGCATCCGCACCCCTACGCGACTATAAGGTCTGCTTTTGAGGCAAGAAAAGATTTTGAGCTATGTAGTAGAACATTTTGCGATAAAAAAGGCCACGCACTTCGGTATTTTTCGCCTCGGTCAATCCCCTCTTCGGGGGTTTACTTGTAACCCCCTAAAACAAATGGTACGACTACATAATCCCGCTGTTTTCAAAATTAAAAAACGCAAAGATGTTTGCTGCGCTTTAAGGATTCACCCCCCCCCGAAAAGTCCTAGTGACGGGCCTGTTTTCAGGATACATTCTTTTAGTAAAATTTGCATATCTTTGTCAAATGTCGTAATTACACTTCACCTTGTGCAAATCATACTTGGCTTGTGACCTGTTTCCAGTTTAAAAGTTATATTATTCTAAACATGGAGGTAATTATTCAATAAAGGACACTCACACTTTATTTCTCCCCTTTGAAGACGATCCCTTGTCAGCGTTGGCACAGCGAGCCACTCAGCTCCCGACGCGACACAGCCACAGTACAAAATAGATGATCCCTGACTCTTGTCCAAAAGGCTAAGCAAAATCAATCTCTATTGGACAAACGGTGAGCAGCGCTAGTTTACAGCAAATCAGAGCGGACGTTAAACGAGGCTGCGGTCCATCCAAGCAGAGCTAAAATGGAAGGCTACGGGAAAAATTTGTTGTCTAAATTCACGCAAATCTCTGCGTGTATTTGTCTGATTTTGCTGATTTTATCACCAACAACATTATGCAAAAAGAAGGACGTAAGTATCCACATTTGTCATTTGTTTTAACTTACTTCTGCATCGAAATTGCTGCAGTTTTTTAATTAAAAAAAATGTTTCGCGCGATCGGCAGATCGGTCACCATAAGTTCTAACATGTCTCTAAGTTCTAGTTTCTGTCAATATGTCATCATGTCCGTTATCATGGTTCTACAAATTTACAAACAATCTGTCTTTTTAAGGGTAGGACCAAAGATATAACATTTGTAAACATCACAAAAATGGGACTGTTGAATTGTCCTTAAATATCTCACTCGAAAAAAGAGTAAATAACAGCCTTGGTCAATCTATAAAATTTTTCCAACCTTGCCAACCACTGACATGACTGAACCAGAATGCTGTAGCTATGGAGTTTCAACTCAGTCCGTAACCAACTTGATCCCAAGTCAACACGGTCCCAATTCAATGTTGGAGATCATTAATTTTTTCAGTGGGCGGTACATGATGGTCAGGTCACTTCGCCCACAACTGCACAAGATGCCTGATGACGTCAGCATTGTCTGCAGTGTGGTTGGACTTAAGCTCTTGGTCGAAATAAGATTTCTGTTTGCATTTTGAAAGAATCAGGAAGGAAGAAAAAGACTTCCGTCTTCGCTTTTCACGGTATCAGATTAAAGAAATTATCAATTTTCAGTAGTTACTTAGTAATTTTGTATTGTTTTAAAAGTGTATTTTCCACTGTGTCTCATTTCCTGTTTGTTATAATCATTATGTGTACTTTGAACTAATGTAAATCATGTATGCAATTCAGATTTGCACCATGAGTCCTGATAATTTTATGTATTGAACTATAAAAGGTTTCCCTTTCAAACGATGTTGCGTCTCATTGGCCCCGCGGTTTCGTGTATTACTGAACGTGATAAAAGTAAAGACCAAAAATTATTTATAATGAAAGTAAAACCAACAGCTAAATTACACATGATCGACATTTCAAGATAATCCTTTTTGTCAGACGACAGTTTCTATTTATTTTCTTATTTGAAAGTGTGAAAAGAGTCCATGTTGCTTGGGTACATCGTCAGCGGAGCAGAGGCTGTTGAGCGCCGCTTATTTATAGGCCTGAGAGCTCAGTGCACAGTGAGGGTTTTGTCAACAGAAACTACAATAATCAGACGTTGACCCTCCTGTCTCTCCAGATCTATATAATTTCCTTTGTGACCATAATTATTACTTAAGTTAGTAAACTGAGAATGGTGTTTAAACTGATGCAAAAGTGTGGTCATTAAGCATAAATGTACATGTACATGCATAGGATACACGTATATACTGTAGGATTTGTGTCACATCGTGAACATAGTTTGACTGCAGTAACTTTACTGCTCGAAGTTTTTCCATGAATCCACAGTGTTACGTTGTTAAAGAGGCATATTACTTGAAGGTAATTTTACTGATTACTCTAAGCCATGGAAAAATGCTCTTTTTAAGGGCAAGAATACCGATTTTACCTGTTCATCTGCAGATGGACCCTATGAGTACGTTGTTCGCACAAGATAAATTACAAGATTTTCAGTATGACCATTGAAAGGCCGCTATGTTTTCTCAATTTTTCTAAAAACAGTTATCTCAAGCATGAAATAAGTCAATGGAATGAAAACTATAGTTAATTTTATACCCCTAAATCAGCCAATCTTGGTGCAACCTCCCTTTACGGAAACGTAGGCCTAAAACAAGTACAGAACATTTAAAAATTTCAATCATAGGGTCCAAGATATGGAGGGTGTCTAGTACCCTGTACCATCTTCATCAGTTTAACTGGTGGCAAGCTTACATCATTTTGAAATTGTGGGTATATGGTAAATGCTGCATGAACAGGTTGTCACTATCTACAGGGAGTCCACACATTGCTAGAATATCTCCAGAAAATAGTGATTTTATGGGCTATGTGTATTACTTGAGCAGTTTATAGCCACTCTGAAAGGCATCATTTTTACATTTTCACACTTTGCAGGAGGTTTTAGGGGAGAAAGTTAAGCAGCTCATGGACTGGAGCAACAAGCGCGTGGTCATTCGCATGAATGGGGACAAGTTTAGACAGTACGTCAAGTCCACACCTCGCAACTACTCCATGATCATTATGCTGACCGCCATGCAGCCCCAGCGCAAGTGCACAGTGTGTCGGTAAGTTTTGGTAGGTTTACATATGTGTAAGAGCATTGATAATTTCTGCTTAACACAAATACTGAGATGTGCCCCTGTTTGATGGTCATTACAGGCAAGTGAACGATGAGTTCCAGATTCTTGCCAATTCTTGGCGCTACTCTCAGTCCTACTCCAACAAGCTGTTCTTTGCCAGTGTGGACTACGATGAAGGGCAGGACGTCTTCAAATCGGTACGACCATGCCCGCAGTACTTGAAAGTGACTGGAAATAACACATAAGTATGAGAAATGTAATAAGCTGGCCAGCTAGTGGCTTTCATGGGCATGTGTGTGTCAGTTGCAGTCATAGCTAAGTCATTCAGACAGCTTGTCTATGCAAGACAAGAAAATCAGAGAGCAAATCCCTTCTTGGTGACTTCATTGTGATATGGGATATACATTTGGGTATTAGGAATGGACATTGCTGTTTGCAATGCATTATTTATTCCTTCTGAATAGTAACAGCACTGATTGTAACCTTTGTTAACAAGCAATACAACCAAATGACAACAAAGGGTCTTTGTTCTTACTTGTGGTTTCAGAGCCAGATGGGATATGAACACAAAGGAAGAAAAAAAATGACAGAAACCAAGTTGTCAGAGAAATATTTTACATTGACAGAAACCAAGTTGTTAGAGAAATATTTTACATTGACAGAAACCAAGTTGTTAGAGAAATATTTTACATTGACAGAAACCAAGTTGTTAGAGAAATATTTTACATTGATTTTTATTGTGGTGTTGTGTCCACAGCTCAAGACAACCTCAGCACCCAGCATCCTTCACTTTCCTCCAAAGGGAAAACCAAAGAAAGGTGACACGTACGACATTCAGCGGTAAGGCACAGATTGTCAACTTGTTTTGGTCAAGGTATTAACCGTAATCAGGTTTACTCCAATAAGAGTTCCTGACATTAAAGTTGCATCTTGCGGGTAAGGCCCACGGCTAGGTTTCATGACAAATACAGAGAGAGGTTAGACCTTTTCAACGAGGATTGCAACACAATTTGAAATACCTTGTCCAAGAAAGTTATTCTGAATTGAGAGTAATGCCATTTTCTATTTTCTTGAAGAACTCTTCACACCCAAAATTAAATCATTGGGCTTTTTCGTTGTCTTCCGCAGAGTTGGATTTCAAAGTGAACAAATGGCAAAATGGGTAGGCGAGCGTACCGATGTCCACGTAAGTATTCATTACATCACCTGCGTGCTTCATAAAACATTGAAGGAGTACATTTTTCCTGAAATGTCAAACAAGTTTGAAAACTAAAATATTCAGGCTAGGAACACAGATATAAGTCACAGAGCTTAATTTTGAAATTAGAGGTAGAGAGTTTACTGAAAAAAAACCTTTGAAGCATAATCAAACAACACAGATAGATGAAAAAAGAGCTACTTAGGAGACAAAATTGAAGGGCTACGTTGTCCAGTTCCTGTACCTTTGAGACTTTTTCCCATAGATCCGCATATTCCGACCTCCCAACTACTCTGGCACCATTGCACTTGGCATCCTGCTCAGCATGATTGCCGGCTTTCTATACTTCCGACGGAACAACCTGGAATTCCTGTATAACAAGACCATATGGGGAGTTGGTGCACTGGTGAGTGGGTTTGCATTGGCTGTATGCTGAAACTAGAGTTGAAGAATTCAGTGCTAATCAGGAACCAAGTGAAGATGTGATTGGATCCCACAAAATGAGCCTCTAGGCCGTTTTTGAGTCATTTGGTTTTAATTACCATTTAGAAAGAGCTAATTGAGCTTTCTGTATCGATGTATAAACTCAGTGGCATTCAGGTTAAAATTGACCTCATGCATATGAAAAGAAAGAGGATTCCTTTTGATTTTATATTGCGCACAAAGGCCTCTAACTCCGAAGCGGTTATGACGGCGACCATGCTAGGTCACAAGTGATGTCAGCGGAAAGAAGCAAGTGTATTTGACGCTAGTGGGCCCTGGTATTACCATTGGGTTTCCCTCTATTGTCTTTCAGTGTGTGGTGTTTGCCATGACATCTGGTCAGATGTGGAACCACATCCGAGGCCCACCGTATGCCCACAGAAACCCACAGACTGGACAAGTGGTAAGAGTATGCAGCTTCTAGCTAACGACTCAAACTTGGGGGTGCTTGTGATGGTCCACTGGGAATATGACCATTTGTGCTCATTTCAAAAGTGATAAACTGTTTGTAGACACCATTTTGTGCCACTTTACACTGCTGTTCTGTGTATGAAGACCATTGACATCCCCTTTGGGTTAAGTGCATATTGTGGTGAACATTTAAAATTATCTACGCTTTTCTGGACAACTGAGGGGGCCGTTGCTGTGATGTCAGTCAGGAAAGTCTCTGTTCATTTGACAGGTTCCTCTGATCAAATTGTAAAACCAAAATTGCTCACCGAAAACATTTCTGAGGAAAGTTGGTTCATTGATTCACTGCACTTACACGCACACAGTGGATCACACACAAAAAAACAGATATTTAAGGCCAGCGTATGAAATCTTAAAGCATTTTTTGGTGCGCACAAATCAATGCAACTTGAGATTTTCTTCCTAGGATGACATCAGAATTTTGCTCCATAATATGGAAATGCTCAGCGAAAAGGAACCAAATTCCCTTTAAAGTACCAAAATAGAAAATTAAATGTTTGAGACACAAAGATATATTTTCAAGGTAAAAAAAATTTTGTTCCTCAAAGTTGGCCAAATTTTAGTTACAAGGATAAGAGTAAATGTTGAGATTCAGAACATTATTTGATGGCACAGCAAGAAGGGTACCAATTAATTCTAATGGTTTGCAGCACTCGGTGTATGTTGATATACATGTATTTGGATTGCTTGGTCTGCAGAGCTATATTCACGGTAGCAGTCAAGGCCAGTTTGTTGCAGAGACACACATCGTCATCTTGCTTCGTATCCTTTGAATCTTTTATTCCTGGCTTTTCCACTACCTTACTTCCCAAATTATAGGTAGCCGTTTCAGATAAATCCAGTTGTCTTTTTGACTTGAAGCGGAAGTGACAAGGTCCACGTATTCAGCTGACGTCTGAGGATGTGAAGTTATATTTTGAATCACATTCAAGGTGTACATAGTTTGGCTTTTTTTCCCACGACATGTTCCTTTAAAATGAAAATGAGCAAAAAAAATAAACTGTGTATGTTGAAAAAAAAGTGAACTTCGGAAGCAATTGGAAGCAACTGACCACAGTACATGTACGTTGAATCAGTGTCGACTCTTGTTTCAAGGAAATGTACAACACATTACTTGAAAACTTTTTCACAGTGTGCCCTTAACACGACTGCTAGATGCTGCTGTGACTGTCGGTGTCATTTTGCTGAATAAGAACTCCATCACAGAGGGCGACATTAGAAAAAGGCGAGGTAACTTACCTCTATGGTGGCTTCCTTTCATGTGATTTATGCTGGCTATATGTCAAACAATTCATCAAATAGTAGATCAGAGAATCTCACAGAAAGGACACATATAGGATTTCATCTTTTATCTATTAATGGAAAATCTATCAAATCTAATGGAAAATTTAAGAATTTGCACTGTCTCTTTCCCTTTTTGCTTTATAGAAAATCATTGCAGTGTATTTATAAAATATGTTATATGTACAATATTTTATAAAATATTCAGAACTTTCTAATAATATCAGCATATTTGTAAAATAAGTCTGATATCCAGTTGTATTATTTGCATCAACCCAACAGCTGCAGGTGTGCCATTTAGTTTGAACTCATGTGAAACCACCTGCAACCTCCCTGAACAGGGCTGGTAGTTCATGTAGTGCAGTGTTTTCTTTGAATGTGTAATCTCTTACCTTTCCTCTCCTGTCCATTTCCTAGTTGTGACCGTTATTGGCCTGGTGATGGTGGTGTTTTTCTTCAGTCTACTACTGTCAGTATTCAGGGCCAAGTATAAAGGCTATCCGTACAGGTGAGTACCTAGAAACAACCTTGGGCCAAGTATAAAGGTTATCCGTACAGGCGAGTACCTGGAACCAACCTTAGCCAAACAAAATGAATTTGGTTTTGTCAAAGAGTTTTGTTGAAGGGAGGACACGATTATATGCAACCTGATCCCAAATGAGCATAAAGTCACGGCAGAGTTACTTTCCCCAGTAAATTGACCTGAAAATCCACATTTCTCTTCGTGAGCCTCTGTGCTGCAACCTGAAAAAATTGAAGTTGCCTAATTTCTGTGTAAAAAAAAATCCAGAGATCTGCAATTTATGAAAACAACAAAGTTGTTAGAGAGTGAAATGGTCTGCAGTTTACTGGTGTAATTGTACAGTGGATACAGTGACAGATTTTAATAGATTTACATAGTTTGGCCATATTAAAATTGAAAGCAAGGTGAACTCTTATTTTTAGAATTTAGTAGTAGAAATGAAAGCAATACAGTGTATATTGAAATTTCATGACAAATCAGTACAATCCAATCCAATCCAGTCAAAAACAGTCCAGTACCATTGCAATCAAAAGTTAACAACTTATAAAACCAGGAACAAGATCAAAGGTAGTGTTCTTGTGAGCAAAGTCCATGAGGTGTAACTGTAATCCCTGGGGTGTATGTAATATCATATTGAAGTCAAAGTATTGAGAACTGTTAGGGTTAATGTGCAGTGCTGAATAGTTATCAAAAGAGGACATTGGCAATTTGGCCCAAACATTTGTCAGCAAAAATGGCATGTTAAGAAGTAATGGGAAGAGGGAAAGGTACATTAAAAAAAACACTTCAGAAAAATTGTTTATATCAAGCACTGAATGAATTCTTTTCTTCTCCCTGAAAAACAGCTTCTTAATAAAGTAGACTGATGAAGACGGCAGGTGCTTCATTGATACACTACACAACAGTACAGGTGCCTAAGGGAAGAAGATGGAAGTAAACGTGGACTATTAATGAGCTGTAACTAATGTGCCTATGTCAGTGCATGTGATGCTGGAATACAAAAAAGAAGTCAGAATGTTGTGTTTTAAGAATGCTATTTCAACGGTCAAAATGGTTTCCATCAACATTTTTTTAATAATGCAACGACTACAATTTTTTGTTTCCTCTGTAATAGAAAACTCTAGTTTCGACATTAAAAATCTTGGTTCAGACACAAGCACATCAGGCGATTGTATTATTTTTCATTTCATTGAATTTATATAATCTTCCCAAATGAGTACATATATAACCCACTCTGCAGAAAAGGGTAATAAGTCGTGCAAAAATGTGATTTGGTGGTTTTTCCTTTAATATCTCTGGAACGCAGCGTACTACAGGGGTCATTCACATATAAAGTTGTAGTTTTTGATGGACACAATCCAGCCGTATCAAAAATTCATAACCTGAATCTGGCGACTTATTACCCACTTTTCTAGAGCTGGTCACATATACACACACGGTTCAAATTAACTGTTGTCACCATACCAGCCTTTACCAGGAATAGACCTGATTTTGTTACAAACTCTATTTCCTGTGGTTGATAATCCAAGGAATGCGTATATCATAAAAAGTACACGTATGTAAAATTTGATGCCGTTACCTGTAATTGACACAGCTGCTGCCAAGTTTCAGACTACTGCTGGACTAAACAGATAATACCGTGGCTCACTCAAACAGTGCTCGATGTGACAACATTCTTTTTTACTTAAAACTACTTCTTGCAGCATCCTGGACAATGGACATGCGCCCTCTTTTTAAACATTAATTGTGAATTATTTATAGTTCACTTCTAGTTGTTTGTGTTTCATCATGTGACTTGGACTGAGTCTTTGTACAGAACCTCTTAAGATTACCTGGTGTAGTACGTGTTGTGTGGAGTTAGTTGAAATTAGTGAATATTATTGTTACATGAGTAACAGCTCTGAGAGAGGGCAAGTGGTACAAACATGACATTGTGGTCATTTGGAATTCAAAACACATCCCCACTCACTATTTCTTGTTCATATGGAATTCTGGGGCAAAAATTACATGAAAAGTCACTGGTGAAGTTATGCTTTCCTCTTGCCCAGAGTTGTTGAAAGATAAATGGTTGGTGCAATGGATGGTCCATGAATAAAGCACTGTGCCACACAACAAAAGTGATAAGCTTGAAATAAATGTTTTTTTTTAACTCTGTGTATCTCCATAATTGTTACTATACTCTTTTAGTCAAAATGAAATACATGTATTTAACTTTTGTCAGAGAAGGTCTTAATATATTTTTGCTGTGGAGATGATGAATATTTCACCACAAGAGAGCATCACATATGGCTTAATTTGGGCCTGTTTCACGCAGGCCATAATCAGTGATCCGACATTGGTTCACTTATCACTGACACCAGAGCCTGGCTATTGGATAAAATGAACCAGCATTGGGATCA